GCCCGCCCCGGCCCCACCCTCTGTCCACAGTGAGCCCCCAGCCACCACAGACAGAGGCTGCTTCGTGGCAGCCTCCCTTGCCCCTCCACCCCCCACTCTGCAGCCTCTAATACAGAGAAAATGTCAGCAGTTACATGGTTACATGTGGAGCAGCAGTCTGTTCCCACCTGTCACCCCACACCCTGCTGTATCAGAAGCAGCAGTGGCCAATGGCAGGTGGCGCCCCTGGAGCTAGTGCATGCTGGGAACTGGCTTTTAAGCTAGCTTCCCACACATACTGGGAGCCTCAGTATAACTGTGACCATTAACAGATGAGCCCAGGCTCATCTGTTAACCATTTACACAGTTACACTTTCACATCTCTAAAAACCTATTTGCAGCATGTACAAAGGCAAGCTCTGTGAAGTACATGCCCAATCACTAAAGTTGTAATTGCACTGTAATTAGACACCGGCAGCTGGTCCATACCAGCTGACCTGGGCTCCCAAAGCTTCAGGAAAGGGCTGTTTATCTGCACTTCAGACTTTCTGGCCTGAGCTGTGGGACTCTCCTGCCTCACAGGGTCTTAGTATCTGAGCTCCAGCTCAAACCCAAATGTCTACTCTGCAATTAAATAGCCCTTAGCTCAAGTCAGCTGGATGACCTACCCACATGTTTTTAATTGCAGTATAGACATAGCCAAAATCCAGCTCTTAGGGTACCGACTTAATTCATATACACCAACATCAAATAATTCTCATCTGCTAGCTATTAAAGTGAACTGCATTGAGCCACTGAAGTAGCAGTGAAATACATACTATCTCCCCAAGACAGCCAGTCCCATCCCCAAAAGCCCACTGTTTTTGACTTTTGCCTCCCATGTTAATCCAACAGAAATCAAGCATGAAGATGTCGGTATCACTTAATTTCTGGCAAATTAAAGAAACAAAAGACAATGCTGAAGAAATGCCACATACTCATAGTATTATATAAATCAGAGGTGACCAACTTATGGGCACCTACAACAATCTTGAGACGTTCAAGAGTTGGGGCACGCCTGCCAGAGTTCAGGGCTTGAACCCTGCTCCTGTTCCAAGATCCCCAAGAGCAACCTGCAGCAGGTAAGCATTTATTTTATTTCGCCTGAGCTAGATTCTCTTGGAGGACACATGGCCCTGGGTAGAGGAAATGGATGGAAAGTCCTAAGACTCATGGGCTGTGTCTAGATTGGCAAGTTTTTCCGCAAAAGCAATAGCTTTTGCGGAAAAACTTGCCAGCTGTCTATACTGGCCGCTTGAATTTCTGCAAGAACACTGACTTCCTACTGTCTGAAATCAGTGCTTCTTGTGGAAATACTATGCTGCTCCCGTTCGGGCAAAAGTCCTTTTGTGCAAAAGGGCCAGTGTAGACAGCTCAGATTTCTTTTGCGCAAAAAAGCCCCAATCGTGAAAATGGCAATCGGGGCTTTTTTGCGGAAAAGCGCATCTAGATTGGCACAGATGCTTTTCCGCAAAAAGTGCTTTTGCGGAAAAGCGTCCGTGCCAATCTAGACGCTCTTTTCCGCAAATGCTTTTAACGGAAAACTTTTCCGTTAAAAGCATTTGCGTAAAATCATGCCAGTCTAGACGTAGCCGTGCAGTACAGTAGATGAATACTCATTTCCTCCACCAGATGATTTTGCAGCATTTCCACCTTTCTTTCTCTGGTGCAGGCTTATTTATCACGGAGGCAGCACCAGTTACCTTCCAGTATCTGCACAAACACTCAAACATCCTGAGACTGGAGAAGGGCCTGAATCAAAACTCCATCTCTAAACAAACCTACATTTATTTGGATCCTAACTGCATCACTGACTCATGTGTCTAAAATATGCAGAAGCAAACCAGTGTCCATAAAACAACCCTCCAATTTGAGTTACTGCCTAAACTTTGTAGCTTAGAGGCTTCTTCATTGTGAGCTAGATTAGACTCTGAAAGAGCAGATATATCACTGTGATTTTGCATGATGGTCTATGTTCCCCTGCAAGAAATAAAATCAGAGGTGTTAGGACAAAAATACACCCCTCTTTACTATTTAATCATCCTTTTAAATCAGCAATTATAATTCATTCTTAATTCCCATTCAAACACACGTTAAAAAAATTACACAAACCAACTTATTTAAAAACGTTAATGAAGCAGTAATGAGTGAATGAAATGGGCAACTTTACTACAATAGAGGTGGCGGCGTGCCAGTGTCCCGTAATGATGAAACGCCAGTGCCACTGTTAGGAAATACCCTACTTCATCTGCATTTCTAGGTGCTGATTTGCTTAATAAATTTTGTATAAAAAAAGAAAGACATCTATTTTGTTTTCATTTGGAGAAGTGTTACTCTTTATAACTATAAATTGCACAGGAATAAATTTCTTAATTAGTTATAGACAGCTGAAATTAGCCACTACAGCTCAGTTTAAACGAATGAATTCATGATCAGAGTCAAAACAATCAGGTCAGTAAAGTACAAATTTGATGAAAAAATAAAGAAAATGCTAAAGACTTATTGGGGCCACCAAATATCTAATTAAATTGACAATTATCATAAAAACCCTTCCCATCACCTTGTCCTATAAGAATAGAAGTGTTCATGCTTTTTTTTAATAAGTGAAAATCTTCTCTTTAGTTAATTTCAGTTTCTATAGTGTGATAATTGTGATCTTTATGCCCATCTATTAATTAACATAATTTAATTATACAAAAGCGACACTCTGATATCTTTAAGATTCAACAGCCTTCTGAAAGGCAAAGTAAACCATGGAAAACCTGATTAAACAAACAGCCCAACTGAGCTTCCCAAAATGTCTACAAACCAGACCTGCCGGCTCTTAATACATTTAAAAAGCAGAGTGCAGCGGGGAGGGAAGAAGGGAAGGGAACCCAGTGCGAGCCGGGACAGCTGATTCCCAGCTTGTGCCGGGTCCTCCCTGCTGTGCACTAGGGATGGTAAATTTAGATTAATCAACTAGTTGATGGAATTTTCAATCAACTACTCGATTAGTCAATAAGCAGGGAAGCCACAGCAGGGTTAGCTCCCGGCTTCGGGAGCTAATCCCACAGTTGCTCTAACTATTAAATGTATTCAGAGCCTACCAGCTCTGAATACATTTAAAAAGCAGAATTGCAGCGGGGGAGACCTGGCGCCAGTCCAGACAGCTGATGCCCAGCTCATGCTGGGTCCTCCCAGCTGCGCAACAGTCTTTTTAATGTATTAAGAGCTGGCTCCCGGGACCAGGAGTAAACCCCGCTGCGGCTCCCCCGCTTACCAGCTAATCAACTAGTTGATGGAAATTCCATTGACTAGTCAATTAGTTGATTAACCTAAATTTAACATCCCTAGTCTGAACCAAGGGTATTTCATTGACAAGATTGTATTTCCTGTACAGAGATGTTTAAATCCTGTGACTGTTAGCTGGAACAAATCATTTGGTCTGAATCACTAGGAAAGTGAGGAGAGAAGCAGCCACTAAGCTGGCTATGACCTGCAGCTTTATAGGGCTTTATTTATTAAAAACCAACACCCTGAACCAGTGTTCCCTGTAAGCTATGCACTTGTTCAGCCACTCGGAGATTCAAATGCTGCCCAGCTGATTAGCAAAGCACCCACAGCTAGGTTTTTTTGTTTCTACCAGTGGTGCACATTGGCACATACCTCAGTGCACATACACATTTACTCCACACACGAATGGAAAAGATTACAGGGAACATTGTCTTGAACTACTATTTGCAGCAGACTGCAAACTGCTGCTGAGATGTAACATGTTACAAGCCAGACACCACTAGCAGAACAACAGGTCAGGGTTACATGGAAGCATTGAGGGGGACATTCAGATGGTGCCTCATCCACAGCAGCGACAAAGATATGGAGATCTGTGGTCAGGCCAGGATCTGAGAGAAGAGACTCTCAAAAGGAGGTGACAGAAAAGCACAATTGATCAGAACTTCCCTGTGGCTGCATGACTGTGTGTGCAGCTGGCACATACAATGCAAAGCTGTGTGCCTGCGTGTCAGGTAGCTGTCCTTCAGGGACACAGACAAAAGGTGTCAAGGGATAGCACTATGTGCCTGCACCTTCCCTGATAAACACAGGGGATGGATTTTGGCCTCACTGATTTCAATAAGAGTCTTGCCATTTATCTGTATGGAGCCAGGATTTCACCAAAATTCAGAGCTGAGTTCACAGCATTTTAATGACCCTGAAACCAAACTACCTAGCGAGTTCCTCCAGCAGGCTTTTGTACACGTTGATCCAGACTGAGGACAATACAGAATCCTGTGGTATGGCACTTGAAGAGAGCTGTTGGGACAGATGAGCAGTAAGGCAATACAGCATCCCAGCTCCCGCATCCCATGGGTCCACCCTCTGAGACCTCTCAAAAACACAATTCCATCTGTTCTTACCAGGATCAACAATTCTACCCATTTGATTGGTATCAAATGCAGCCACAAGAACTAAAAAAGAATCCAGCACAGGTATTTGGTCCTCCACCCATTGTGTGCCAAATACAAATCTAAAACCACAGTGAAAGAGTCCAAAGGAACATGACCCCAGAAAAAGTCAGAGCTGCCAAGCCATAACCCTCACAGTAATGCTCCTTGAAACAGGAAAGTCAGAGACATGGTGATAATCAGTGATTATCAGCATCCAGAGATGACTCCTTGATCAGGGGCCTACCAGTATCTTATTTGAGCACCGCTGGGTGCCTTTTCTTCCCACATGGAGATGGCATTATCCACCAATAACAGTCTTCCTTAAATTCAACAGGAGCTTTTACTAGCCAAGCAGTTAATAGAACAAAATTCTTCAAAATCATCTGCTCTGGTAGTTTGCTGGACCCAAACACATCGCCATGGGCTACTTCATGTATGAGAGCCACAAAGTGAAACTGACCAAACTGGGCTGATGAAAGAATAAATAAATAAGAGGGACTTTGACTTCAAACCTGCACAAAGAAATAAAACCCTATTCCCTTCTTCCTCCCCCCACAGATTATCCAAATATTGGATTCAGGCATGTGGGAACAAACAGGACTAATTATCTAGTTCATCCCACCCTAGAAGAATGGGTAGAGCTTTAATCAACCTCCCCCCACGCCCCACCATTCGCTGGCCAGAGTAGCTGAGCCAATGCAAAGGTAGGGCAGAGAAGGCAGTAATTAAAGCAAGTAAAAGCTAGTAGCAGCTTGCCTATTCTTAAAAGGAAGAAGGAAGGGGGGGAGGAATTATAAGGTGCTTTCAGTCACAAGAACTCCCTGGGGCTGCTTCTGGGTAGATGCTTGTCAGACTAGCCCCTTTTGCTCAGAGCTGGAAGTCTAACTGTAACCCTTAAGGACTGTGATTCCATTCAATTTACTAATGTGGCAACATCTTACTCTTGTTTAAGAGTTGAGACGGAATACAGCTATATAGGCATTGCTCACGAACATGAAGGAGAGGATCCAGTATTTCGTGGCATGTGAGAGGCCACTGGGGACTGAGCTCCCTTTTGTGGAGGGGGGCAGGCAGGAAAAGAAAAAGTAAGAATTTTGTTTCACAACTACACCTTCTGCCTGTGAACAAAAGTTGAATCTTGCACTGAAATCCTTGCGTGCCAATAGCATTGGAAAATGAAAACCAAATTAAACATATATGAATGGTGTTCCATACCAAGTCTAATCACTTATTTTTAAACCTGGGAAGGGTTGGTACAATTGAAATATTTGGGCTGGGCTTAGAAAAGAAATTCCACTCATCCTTTTCATGCACCATGCCAGCATAGCTAACTATACTATATAGCACTGAACAGAAAGGAAAACATGTAAAATAATAAAGAGATACAAAAGAAAAAATTCAAAAATTTGCCTGACCCTCATGATGCAAATGAAAAAAATTTACGTATTGAGCATTGCTTGATTTTCATTTCTGCTGCAGGTAGGGTCAGGATACCATTATTAACGGGAATAACTCTGTACACAGCAGAAATATTTCTGCAATAAATATTCTTTGGTATGATAGGTAGGTAAGGGAAACATACATCTGACACTAATCTTGCTTCTCTCCTGTGTGAATTAGCAGTCACTACATTGAAATCAGACTTACTCACAGAAGTCTGTTTTATGTCTATGTAAAGCTGGTGTAAGTAAGGAGAAACAGGTTATGGATTTCAATCATGCATACACATGATGACACATTTCTACATCTCTATAAATATCTTTATTTCTTATGCAATAAAAGGGTGTGCTGAGACAAAAGTTATTTCATTTGTGAGTATTTGATTTTGTTTTCATTTTGTGTTGCGATATAATAAACAGATTATGTACCCAACTAAAGTTTAATTGATACAGTTTCTACTTTGGTCAATGTGAAAAACAAGGTGCCATGTACCCACAATTCTCCTAGTGAAACATTTCCAGAGTAAATTTAAAATATGACTTCCTTTGCAGTATTTAAACAGCATCTGTGGAGTCACGTGAATCAAGGTAGTTAATGAGATGAAGGCTTTTAACTCTATTCTGCCATTTCAAATTCAATCATGACTAAAAATGGCTATCATTTGATGGCTATAATGGTCCCATGTGAAATGTGTTTATGCACTTTCCAACAGACAGCCCAACCCACAAAATTAACAATTCTTGTCATTAATTAGCACCATTGTCTGCAGTGGCTGAAGACTCACTGGGCAGAGACTGAACTACCCCCTCACAGAGGCCTCTCCGTGCACTGAATTGTGCTGAGGAGTGATTGTCTAGTGGTTAGAGTGCTAAACTGGGCTACTAGACACGGAGTTCAATTCACTGCTGAGCCAGACTTCCTGTATGACCTGGACAAGTCAGTTAGGCCAACTCCTCAAAGGTATTTGAGGCTCTGGGCCTAATCAACTTGTGCCTCACTTCTCCATCTGAAAAATGGGCATAAAAGAACTTCTTTACCTCCCTTGGGTGTTGTGGGTGTAAGTAAGTTGAAGATGGTGAGGTGCTCAAATATTAAAATGATGGGGCCCCATCATGCTAGCACTGTATACAGGTAATGGAAACAATCCGTGCTTTTCAGACAAAAAAAATAAGAAAGGCAATAGTAGCACAGACATACCTCTGAAGAGGGTCACATAGCCAAGAGTGGGCACATGTTTCCTGATTCCCTGTCCTGTGACTTGTCTACTAGGATCATAGAGTCTCATGTACTGTCATTCAGCACATTTTTTTCCCAAAAGCCATGTAAACCTCATTTTTTGAGTAAGAGCAGCATTTCGAAAGGGGGGGGGAGGGAGATGCCAAAAAGTCACGCCCTAAGAGCAGCATTTCGAAAGGGGAGGGAGATGCCAAAAAGTCACGCCCCGACTACTTGCATATCAGAAGAAAATATGCAAATTCCCGCAGAATTTGCATATCCTCTTTTGAATCTTCTGCGTAGTCTAGACGAGCCCAGAGAGAGAGATTCTTGTCCATTTCTAATCTCTAAGCACTTGTAAGCAAGGGCATACTTCAAATAATCTAATTCTGTCTTTTAAAATAACCAATATTAACTAACACCAGTGGCTTTTGAATATTTTCAGGATCTTTAAAACTATCAGATTTCAGCTATTGTTTCACCTGAAAAAATAAGAAACCATTCATTCATACGTAACCCAGACACAACGCTCTTTTAACACTCATCAGTCTTTTTCATAAAAGCCCAATCCAAAAAGATCTGGATCCATGGTCTTCGATGATTTTATTTAGTTACAAAGGTTCTGTGGTAAGCAAAATCATGAACTAATGAACTCGACTATGTATCAAACACCAGGGGGAGCCTCTACAGCCTCCAACACAGGGGTTCTCACCTTTCCTGAGTCAGATTTATCTTGCATACTCCCAAGTGTCACCTCACTTAAAAACTACTTGCTGACACAATCAGACATAAAACTACAACAGTGTGGCCGCCCGCTAGTGCTGACGAATAGCTAACTGTCTCTTTTTATCACACAAGTATAAAATACATGGTTTGCAATAGAAATATTTCACTTACATCTCAGTGCGACACTGGAGCCGGTTTCTCACTTATGAGCCTTGTTTGAAGCTGGAACTCCAAGTGGCAGGTGAAAGAGAGGGATGGAAACATTAAAAAAAAAAAAAGCCACAGGAACCGCGTAACCGACTGAATTTTAATCAGTTCCATGGATAACGGCTTTTCCGCCCGCCAGCCTTGCGAGCTTCGCACATCCCCACTCAGCGGCGGG